GGGGGTGGTTGATGGGAGATGACAACGAGTGGAGTGGAGAGGAGAGGAGAGGAGAGGAGAGGAGAGGAGAGGAGATGGAGGATGAATGAATGAATGCAATGTGAGGTGGCCGGGGGGTGGGCACAGCGGCCGAGAGAGGAGGGACGGAGGGGGGTGCAAGAGCTACGCGGAAGGGGATTGCAGGAGGGGCCGGAGGATGGGAGCCTTGGCGGACTTGGCCGGGTGAGAGCGAGGCGGATTGCGGAAGGGGCTTGTCTGTGCGACTGTTTGTCGGGTATCTGTGCGATAATGTGGGCGATTATCCTAGTGAATGTGTAGATAGTAATGCGGGCCGTTCAAGCACTTTCTTTGTAGCTCTGCTCGGTGATGAACGGACCACAGATCCACAGATTGTATGGATGCGGAAGAGTGTTGGGTGGGAAAACAAGATGCGGGTGTCTCGTGTGTCTCGTGTGAGGATGAGTGAGCGAGATGGAAAAAGAAGAATATTGACTAAGGGACCGAAATGGTGATGACGCGACGTCGTGTGTCGGTCGGAGGAGTGTCGGGTGGGAGGGACGTGGGTGGTGTCCTCTTGCTGCGCTGCAAAGCTGTTGAATTGCACAGTTGCGAAGGGTAGATGATGACCGATGGGCTCGACGAGGTTAATGAGGTGTCGTGTTGGAAGAGTCCCAAGCCGAGTGGAGACGCCTTACGGCCTACTACCAACTAACTGATCGTCTTGGAAACAGGTTTGATGTGCATGGGCGTCGTGGGACCACTGGCAGAAAATGCACAAGAAAGAGCAGGCAGGACGGAGGGAGGGGGCCGAGAGCGAGCGAAAGCAGGAGCGGGCTGGGTGGAAAGAATGGCCCGGGGCAAGGTCGGAGGCGGAGTGAGAAGCAGGGAGCTTTCTCGGCGCCCGGTCGGAAGCGGGAAATGAAATGCGGAAGTGGGGCACCAGTACAAGGAGCGGAAGTCAGCGGAATCTTTTTCCTCTAATATAAACCTATCCCATTAATTATTACACAAGCAATGACGTAACCATGGCCTCCACGTGGGTCTCCAAAGGTACATGTCACGTGCTCTCTCGGCTCGGTCTTTCCTCTCCCTCTGCTGATCCGCTTTCCGCTCCAGGCGGGATGAGGCGGGATCAAATCGAGTGCCGTGTGCCGTCCCGGTCATCGGGGTCAACCTCGGCGACATCCATCATCCTCCCTCCGCCTCCATCTGTCTCACAAGTTGATCTCTCCATCGCTTTCCTTGTAATTACTCTTATTACTCATCCTCTATTCCCCCTCACTGGTACTCTACAACCCCTTGCCATCTCTCTAAATGCTCCTCCTCTCATGACATCTCTAGCTTCACCCTCCAAAACTTCCTCGACTTGTCGGCAACAACAATCATCACCCCATTATCACCGCCATGCCTCGTGCACCCAGCGCCCGCTCTCATGCAGCTCGTACATGCATCGCTTGCAAGCGCGGAAAACGTCGATGCGAACTCCCTTCCTCTTCTCAGCGTCTCGAGGGAGGCGTCACCCTCCTTCAAGAAGACAGCTGCACCCGATGCCGTCGACTTGACGTCCCCTGCATCCTCGACGCAACCTATCGCTATGCCCACCTCCACACCCTCACCACTGCTCCAACTCCGCCTCCGCCAATTATGCCAATCACCGAAGAGCCCAATGTGCCCGTCAAAGTCGACTTGCATACTCATCCAAAGAGCGTCGACGACTACCAGCGCTTCTTCCCCCGCTACCTTCCTTTCACACTCATGAATGACTTCTACGTCCGCACAGCCGGCAAGCTTCCCAAGCACCCATGTCTTATGGACGTCCCAGACGTCCAGTTCGATGACTTGGTTAGCGATGAGCATGCAGAAATCGCTTCGAAATGGTGCGCTGAGTTACATGACTGTTGTGACTGACTGTAGGTGTCAAGATCATGTGACATGGTGGCTGCCCTTCACACCGACGATCGCACAAGTGCGGAAACTACGCCGCGCCGGAGCGACTTCTTACACCCTTCTTTTCCTTGAGGCGGCTTTGTGCGACCTCGCCCTTCAGCATGCCGCGTTCCCCATTTCTCCCACAAACGCAGACAAGGTAGCAACCTGGACAGCGTGGTACTGCCGACAGCTCATTGCCGATCCAAGAGGCGAATACCTCAGTGCAGCACTGCTTCTCGCTGCCTGGTTTCTGCCATTGCTGCCGGACAACACGGTATACCGCGACTTGGCGACGAGGGCACTTCAATCAGCGCAGGACGACACGTTTGAGTCGAGAATCAGTCGCGTCTGCGCATCGGCACTCCTCGGAGGGGCACTACTCAATGACGATGATGCCTTTTACGTCCAGAGCGCGGCTCTCCAGCTACCTTCTGTGGAAGAGCTCGACGAACTGGAAGCTGAGATTGGCGCATCACCCTCGCTGTCAAATCAGGCCAAGGCTGGCTGTCATGCCATCATTCTCCGGTGTCGAGCGTGGATCGTAATGAAGAAGTGTGTTGTCGATATGGGCGACGCCCGGCGAAGCGGCGATCCCGAATCCAAGCAATTGGCCCGCATGGATACAGCACGCATCGAGTTTACAAACGCCAGCAAGGCGCTGTGCGCTCGACGCGGGGCCATTTTGTCTGTTTCACCACTTGCCGCTTGGCTCGACTTTGAAAACTGCGCTTTGGACCTGTTGATATCAGGCATGGTGCTCCACTTCACCCTCGGCGACAACTTTACGCCGCAGTACTTTTACGACGTGTCCACGGGTGAAGCGGGCAGCGAATCGCTGCAAACATTCATGAGCGTCCACGGCCCCCTGAACGCTGAGTCAACCGAGTGCATGCTTGCCGCCGTCTCCAACCTGCCCACGAAGGACGTCCTGTACCCGACCACACTGACCTTTGCATACGCGATGCGCGGCGTGATTATGGCGCTGGAGATACACGCGACGTCATTCAAGCTCTGGCGCCTCCCACCGCCCCGCGAGCCCGTGTGGAATCTCCTCCTGCGTTCCGTCGACGACACGCTGCGCCGCCTAAAAGGGGGCGGGGGGCAGGTGGCGGCGCGCATCGCGATCGCATCTGTCGGCGCCGCGCGAGAGACGATCCGGCGGTGGCGCGCCGAGCTGGTCCGCCGCCCATTCAATCCCAATCACGCGCCGCGGCCCACAATCACCCCCGACGGCCCGAGCCCCGCGACCGCGAAAGCCGTCGCTGCCAAGACGGGGGTCGCGGGGGTGGTCCCCGGCACGCTGTCGGCGGGTTTGTTCAGCGGCTTCGAGCCCGCGGCCGGGTTCGAGCTGCAGGGATTTGATCCTATGGTCACGTCGTTTGCGGAGTGGATTGCTGGTATCGACTGGAACCAGTTTGTGGTGACGGAGTAGGGGGGGGGGGGGGGGGGGGGGGGGGGGGGGGGGGGGGCGGGGGCATCAACTTGATGATGATTATGGGCGGCTGCAGGGTTGCAGCACACACTTGCATCCTCTTCTACACTGCATATGTATATGCATGACTTGGTGAACGACTATCGAGAATCTTGCGAATGACAAGCGTATTCCACCACCCGACTTGTTATGCAGTGCAAGTAAGCCCGACTCGTCATCGGATAGCCTCGGGTCATGCTCGACACGGTGACCGGGTATCATCATTGATCATGGATCATGGGTCATGGAGTCATGTTGAGGCATGAGAATATAAGAATACAAGAAGCCGGAGCTACAGTAGTACTGTAGATACGATCTGTATCACGAGAGCGAGAGCGTGAGCGAGCTGAGAAGCAGGAATGCGGGGTAGCGACGTGCAGACCAAGAGACTCAACAGCCAGAGCCCCACGTCTGGTCCATGAAAATGGGTGCGGTGAAATTCGAGTGCCGAGCGACGGGAGGTGCAGGGGGCGGGCAGCTTTGGGGACGCAGGGAACGACCCGAGGGACGCGAGGTGGAGGAGCAGAGGGGGATTGAGGGGAGCAACAGGCACAATGTCTTGGGGCAGTCCACCACCGGCACCGGCCAAGAATTGATCCCGGGTGGGAGGATGCACTGGGCACTGGGTCCAGCCCGGCCCACACCGGGACCGGGCGCAGTCTCCTCCCCCGAATCGAATGCACGCGCGAGATTTTAAAACAACTCGACCTCTACTCCTCTTCTCCATCTCTCTCCATCCTCCTCCTCCTCATCCCCATCCTCATCCCCATCCTCATCCCCCGACCCCCTCCTCTTCTCTTCTCTCACGACCACCCCCGCTCCCCCCTCACCCTCAAAAGGCATCGCCGCCACCCTCCAACCCCCTCCCCTCAACCCACCCCACAATGTCTGCCGCCACCCTGCGCCAGCGTAACGTCGACAAGCCAGGTGCTGCCGACAAGGCCGAGCTCCTCCGTGAAGCCGAGGACCTCGAGCTCACCGAGGGCCAGAAGTTTGTCGTGCCCAACTTTACCGTCAAGCAGCTCTTGGACGCCATTCCGTGAGTGCCCTTTGCCCCCCCCCCATGGCGCAGAGGCGGATGTCGGATGGCTTGCGTGAGCCACGGCGTCGGTGGCAAACCCATCACTCTAATCAATCCGATAAGGGACGCCTGATGGCGGTGCTCCTCGCGTGCCAACTACGGTGGGCCGCGGGCCGTCATGGTGACGACGAGACGGACACAGGACCTCGTTTTGCGATTCCGTCCGATTAAACTTTACACCCAGAACCACGCTCACCCCAGCGCCCACTGCTACAAGCGCTCGGCGTTCAAGTCGTCGCTTTACGTCCTCCAGGACTTTGTCCTCCTCGCCGCCCTCGTCTACGGCGCCTACCACATTGACTCCTTCTTGAGCCGCTTGTGAGTATTTCCCATCAGATATCGGTGGAGGGACCGGGAATCCAGCGACGCGGGGGTCGAGTGGAGCCATCATGTGGCTTTTTCATCCCACCTCGCCGTGCCTGCGTGCCAAGACAAGGCAACCGTAGGCACAATCGTTGCTCCACCACCCCAAGTCCCCCTCATGGCAGCATCATGCTCGGACTTGCTCTCATGGGTCTCTGATGCATGCTCCTGCGGCCAGCCGCTAACATCGCAGCAACCTTGGCTCGGTTGCCCACACCGCCGCCAAGATCGGCCTCTGGTTCACCTACCAGGTCCTTGCCGGCATGGTCGGTACCGGTATCTGGGTTATCGCCCACGAATGCGGCCACCAGGCCTACTCCGAGTCCAAGACGATCAACAACGCCGTCGGCTGGGTCCTCCACTCGATCCTTCTTGTGCCTTACCACTCGTGGCGCATCTCGCACGGCCGTCACCACGCCGCCACCGGCCACCTTACCCGTGACGAGGTCTTTGTTCCCCGCACCCGCGAGCAGCTCGGCATCCAGGCCCCCAAGACTGAGGAGGAGAAGAAGGGCATCAACGTCCCCGCTTGGCGCCAGGCTGAGCTTCGTGAGGCCCTCGAGGAGTCGCCTATCGGTGCGCTCTACGGTGCCATCCTCCACCAGCTCTTCGGCTGGCCCATGTACCTCATCCGCAACGCGTCCGGCCAGCTCTGGTACCCCAAGATGACCAACCACTTCCAGCCGTCGTCGATCATCTTCAAGCCCTCGCACTTCTGGCAGATCATTGCTTCGGACATTGGTGTTGTTCTCACCGCCGCCGCCCTCGGCGTCTTTGTCTACTACCGTGGCTTTGCCGAGATGGCTCGCATCTACCTCATCCCCTACCTCTGGGTGAACCACTGGCTTGTCTTCATCACCTTCCTGCAGCACACCGACCCCGTTCTCCCCCACTACTCGGAGAAGACTTGGACCTTTGCCCGTGGCGCCCTGGCGACCATTGACCGCAACTGCCTCGGCCCCGTCGGCCCCTACCTCTTCCACGGCATCACCGAGACGCACGTCGCGCACCACACCTCGTCGCGCATCCCCCACTACAACGCGTGGGAGGCGACCGAGGCCCTCAAGAAGTTCCTCGGCCCCCACTACCACTACAACCCCGAGAACATGTTCGTGTCCTTCTGGAAGGCCCACCGCTACTGCAAGTTCATCGAGGCGGGCGAAGACGTCGCCTTCTACCGCAACGCCGCTGGTGTCGCGCAGAAGGTCGGCATCATCGAGGAGAACGGCGCGGTGTCCGACTCGGGCGTCGAGCACAAGTAAGCGTTGCGCTCGCGTACGCGTAGGCCGGCGGCGGCAGCGGCAGCGGCGGCGAGGTCGGCAAGATCTCCGCCACACGCCGCACCGATAGAAGTAGCATATAAACGAGAAAAAAACCTTATCCCACCATCTACCCCCATCCCAACCCAGCACTGCCGACGCGCACACGACTCATAGAAACCATTACATCCGGCTGTGCGCGTGTCCTCATTTCATCTTGGGCTGACGGTGCCTAAACGGTCGTTTCATGCATTCCATCTTTTAGTCGGGGGTGGGCGGCGGCACGAGATGCGGCGGCGGGCCGCGAGCAGCGATAGCGCGAGACGCGGACAGAGAGGAGGCCGGCTAGGGAGTCGACGAGGTACAGAATGACGGTGATGCGGTCATGCGCTGTTCATTTCTTGATGTCATGCACAGAATCAGAGTTCCCAGTGCGATTGGGGGGCGGAGCGCGGGGCGAAGGTTGACCGACGAACCTGGTCATCACCGCCTCGCCGCCACACTCCAATTTGCTCGAACTTTGTCGAATTGCCACCCGGAGATGCCACGTCAGCCCGTGGGAAAAATACTCCCGTCTCCACTCGATGAGGTGGAGGGCAACAATGTCCACCAGCGAGCGAGCTATCCTCCGTTTCCATCTTGCAGACAACCTCGCACACCCTCTCCCCCATCGCGCGTTTTCCTCACAACATACCGCCATGCGGGTCGGAGCTCTCACCCTCTCCATTCTCGCCCTCGTGGCGCCAGCCCTGGCCGACGCGTCAGGCCGCACCGCATCGGAAGCCGCGGCGGAGGGCAACACCCTCCTCGCGCAAGGCGCGTACGCCGACGCAGCCCGCGCGTACTCTGAAGCGATCGGTGCGTCTCCACGCGCCCCGCGGCGCCACTAACGCCAGCCTCGGACCCCTCGTACGCAAACTACTACAAGCGCGCGACAGCCTACCTCTCGCTGGGGCGGCACGCCTCCGCGCTCGCAGACTTTGACGCGATCCTGTCGCTGAACCCCGAGTTCGCGCAAGCCCATTTCCAAAAGGCCAAGATCTACGCACAAGACGGCGCGTTCGACGCCGCGGCACGCGAGCTCGCGCTCTTCCACAAGAGCAAGCGGGACGACGCGAGCGCCGAGCTCGCGCACGCGGTCGCGGGCGCCCTCGCGGCGTCGAAAGCGGCCGAAGCGGACGCGGCGCGGCAGAAATGGGACGCGTGCGTGGATCACGCGACGCAGGCGCTCAAAGTCGCCCCGAATAGCGGCGCGCTCCGCGCGCTGCGCGCGCGCTGCGAAACGGCGCGCGGGCACGTCGACGGCGCATACGCCGACCTCAGCCGCCTCGCGGCGCTCGACCCTGCTTCGCAGGAGCTGCGGGTGCGGCTCGCGCACCTCGCCTTCGTCTTCCTCGAGCCCGCGACGGCTGTTGCCGAGCTCAAAAAGTGTCTGCTGTACGACCCCGACTCGCGCGCGTGCCGCACCCTGCACAAGCGCATGCGCGGGTTCGAGCGCGATCTCGCGAAGGCGCGCAACTTTTCCACTGGGAAGGCGGGGGACGCGCGGCGCGCGATCGCGCTGCTCCGCGGTGAAGAGGGGTTGGTTGCGCGCTTCGAGCGCATGCTCGACGAGGCGGAGGCGGCGGGGGCCGTCCCGCCCCAGTTTGATGCGCGGGCGCGCAGCACCACCCGCCTCGAAGTGTATGCGCTCGGATGCCGTGCGCTCGTCGATGCGAGCGACTACGCGTCCAAGCTCGGAAGCTGGTGCGACACAGTGTTGGGTATGGACGAGACGAACGAGGCCGCGCTGGTGTATCGCGGCGAAAAGCTGCTCAAGGCCGAGAAGTGGGACGAAGCCGTCGCGGCGTTCCAAGCCGCGTTCGAAAAGTCGGGGCGGCGGTCGCAGGACATCATGGCGCGTCTGCAGAGGGCCGAGCGCCTCCTCAAGCTCAGCAAGCGCAAAGACTACTACAAGGTGCTCGGGGTGGGGCGGGACGCCGACGAGCGCGCGATCAAAAAGGCCTTCCGCAAGGCCGCCAAGGTCAACCACCCCGACGTGGGGGGCAGCGAGGAGAAGATGGCCGCGCTCAACGAGGCGTACGAGGTGCTGAGCGATCCCGAGCTGCGGCAGCGGTACGATAATGGCGACGACCCGAACGACCCGTCTGGCGGACAGGGCGGAAATCCGTTCGCGCACCATGGAGGTGGAGGGATGCCGTTCTTCTTCCAGCAGGCGTTCCAGGGTGGGTTCCCGGGTGGAGGCGGCGGCGGCGGCGGCGGCGGCGGGCAAAAGTTCCACTTCCAGTTCTAGCTGGTCCTAGGCCGCTGGTCTAAGGCCGCTGGTCGAAGGCCGCTGGTCAGCCACCGGAGAGCAGGATAGACTGTAGATTTCTTGTAGCCATGTATCTCGTACCCCCTTCTGTTGGGGACAGTTGGGCAAGGGTGGGATTCCGAACATCCGGCTTTTGAAGAAAACGGCTATGACGCAATCCGCCATCAGACACCGGCCATTAATACTCGCTCACAGATCACACACACACTCACTCACTCAACACTTTCCAGATCACAATGGGCCTCCCCACCTCCCTCTCGTTCCTGCGTACAGGCACCGGCGACCAGACGCTGGATGTGTGAGTGGCAGCGGAGCCGGCTGGCGGGTGGTGGCGGCGGGTTGTGGCAGTGGCAGTGGCAGTGGCAGTAGCGGCGGTGGCGGTAGTGGTGTCTCGCGGCGGGCCACGGCACAGTGCATGCTGACCACAGATACCTCGAGCCCCTCTGCCCGTTCTCGTACAAAATGGCCAAGTCGCTCGAGGCGAATGTCCTCCCCCATGTGCGGGAGGGCGGCAAGTACCATGGCAAGCTGCAGCTCGTGGTGCGCATTTATGCGCAGCCTTTGTGAGTGGGCAAGCAGGAGAGGTAGATGTCGGCAGAGGCTTTGGATGAGCAGAGGCTACTAGATTGGCAAAGACGTCGCAGGCACCAAGCAGGTGCTTGTCGCGACGAGACGCGCGCGCCTCACTGGTAGACCGTATTGCGCCCACTTTGGTTCCAGACTACCCGCCTCGCCGCCCTCGCTGCTCGGGCGGCGTGGCCGCACTCACACCAGCCACTACTTCTCCGCATTCCCCTGCGAAGCCATCCTCGTCTTCTGCAACCAACACCCCGACCTCTTCTGGGAGTACCTCATGGCCGCCTTCGCCATCCAAGACGCCTGGTTCAACAAAGAGGTCAAAGACAAGACCCCGCTGCAGTGCCAGCAAGCGTACGTCGACGTGGCCCTCGACATCCTCGACAAGCACGGCCGCCTGCCCGCCGGGCCGCGCTCCAAGGCCGCCGGCGAGTGGATCGACAAGCTCCAGGTCCACGACAAGGCGAATGGCGGGAGCTCCATGTTCATGGACCTCAAGTATCTCGGTATGTGTGTCCTGCGGCGGGCTGACAGCAGCGCGCGAGGGGCGCCAGAACGGCATCCACTTCACGCCGACTGTGCTCCTCAACGGCCTCGAGGACGGCACTGTGTCGTCGTCGTTCGGCAAGGACGACTGGGACAAGTACCTTGCGTAAGTTGCGGTGTGGAGGGTGCTGACCCCAGCGACAAGCTCAAGTAGGTGGCTGTGAGTCGGCGCACGTAGCCGCGTTGACACGGAGCGAGAGCGCGCAGGGCCAACAAGCGCGAATGTAGACAGAGTACTAGTACATGCATCTATGCTCAGCTCGGCCTAGAAGTCATCAATCGTCCGGTTCAAGTCGGCTTTGAGGTGCTCCTTCATGCCGGGCGGCAGGATCGGCTGCCCCGCCCCGTCCTGGACGTAGCGGAACGGCATCTCGATGCTCTCGTACTTGTTGAACGTGATGGTCGGGAAGTCGGTGAACGGGATCTTGTCGAGCGGCACCCCGTCCTCCACCACCATCTTGGTCACGCCGAGCGCCGTATCCGTCGTCATCTGCACGGGCCCGAGGTGGCGCCCGGCAAAGCCCAGCCGCCGCAGCTCGCCGGTACGGTCGCGCGGCGGGTCGTCCCCGAGGATCCCGCCGTACAGGAACACGTCGAACGCGTCCGCGTCCTCCGGCGCGATGGCGGCCTCGGCGCGCGGATCGAGCAAGCACACGCGCGCCTGCGGGATCGGTGGGTTCTGCGCTTCCAAAAACCGCAGCACGGGTTCCGTCGCGAGCACGGCTTTGTCCCCCTCAGCCTTGGACTTGAGGTAGGCCTCGAGCGGGGGCACAGAGGACGCGCTCAGCGACGTAAAGCACACCGAAGACGCAGGGCCCACAAGCTGCAGCATGTGCGCGTACCTGCTGTCAGACCAGGCGGCTCGCGGCTACTCACTCGAGCCGCACCCACTCGGGGAGCGCGCGCGTCGCCGCATCATCCTCTTCCATGTGCTCTGGCGTCAGCGCCTCACCCACTGAACGCACCGATGATGTACTTGAACCCCTTGTCCGCCTTGGCCGCCATGATGCGTGGTGTCTTTCCAACGACACTCCCTGCTCAATCCATCAACATTTTCCGCCTCCACCTCCGGCATGCGGGACCAAAATTTGCCACCCAACATAAGGATTTCGATCTCTCTTCCGACATCACCATCCACCATGGCCCAAGGCGCAGGCAAACTCAAGTCCAAGGCGCCGAGCGGCGGCCGCAAGAAGGGCGGCCTCACGAAGAAGGGCAAGCGCGATGCGCCGCCCAAAAAGATCCAGCATGTGCGCGAGCGTGCGACGCAGAAGGTGTGTGAGGGCAGCAGGCGACGGAGCGAGACCAAGCTCGAGACGGAGACCGAGGAGAGGCATGGGACGAGACACGCTGACCCCAGAAACTGTCTAGCACAATCAACAACTCGATCGAGCGCCAGATGGTGAATGCTGCGTCGGCGGGCAAGCTTACCATCATGAGGAACAAGGGCGGCGAGGAGTGAGTCTCGGGCCAACGGCGCGGCGCTGACGGCAGGGCGGCGAAGAAGTAGGCGATACTGTTGTATTATGCACGGCTGGATTCGGTTGGGGTTAAGGGGGCTGGGGTGTTCACCGCGATGGGCGTGGAGCGCACGCCGCGGCTGGCGTCCGGCGGTGTTGCGCAAGTATATGAGTGCTCGACTAACGTTTGGCATTGTTCCCCTATGATTGTGGCGTGGCGGCCGTTGAGTACTCATCCTCTGACCCATCGCAAGGCTCGAACTCCGATGATACTGCGAAAGAGCCTTGCGCGTGGGGACGAGCATGTCAACATTCCCGCTGAAGTGGAGAGGACGACCATTAACGCTCTGAGGCTGGGGCATCTTAGCGAAAGGGGGTGTGGCACTGCCGACCGTGTACTTGTCAGCACAGGCGAGGATGTTTGGGAGGAGACGGCGCTGAAGTAATATAAACTTGTAGTCGGACCAGTCACCCATGTCGATTCTGTTATCCTTGTGATTTAATGTTTTCTCAAGGGTTGCCCAAACATGCGGGCCGGTCAACCCCCGTCCTGCCCATCACTGCGTCCTCGGCTTCCTGTTCAGACTCCATTAACGCAAGGTCCCGTCCACCCCATATGACAGGCTCCTACACATTCTTTCACACATCATCACTGCATGCTCTCCCTTGGCTTGTCAAGACTTGTATGTGTACGCTCAAGCAGTTCGTCCGTGTACGCTCGAGCAGGTCAACGTTGTGTACCGTCCTCCGGATCTCAAGGCAGTAGACGAACTCCACAAGCGCGACGTCCTGCACAGAGATCTGAAGCCTGGCAACATTCTCTGCATCGGCAGGCTTACCGAGAACAGCCTCCTGATTGATGCGTCAATCTTCATTGCAGACTTGGCCTCAGTGATTTCATGCAGGAGGAGGGCCGTGGAAATTGAGATGCCACTGGATACTCGGTGCTCGATGAGGAGAGTCACATCTACTCTGTCGGCTGCATTCTCAAGGAGCTTGACACAGGATCCCGCCTGGCTTGTATCTGCGACATCAACTACACGACAGCTGAAGATCCTCTTAAGCCAACGCCAGCAGGGCTTCTCGCGTGTTGAAGTGTTGCGGGAGAGCTCTGTCCACGAAGGCGTCGCCATGTGACCGCCCTGGCATGTGAATCGGTTCACGTCACGGCAGCTTCAAGAGATGTTCCCCGAGATCAAGCTTGACGGCCACATCTTCAACAACGGCGCCGATTCATACCCAACGCCAACCACTTGCATCCATGTCCCAAATTGGTGTCACGGACTGGCATCCGCAACACTGCGACACCTTCTTGTGGCGAGAGACTACACCCAGTGGGGCATGGTACTCGTGTCCAGCAAGGCCCGGCATTGTTGATGACAGGCAAGTCTAAGAGACTGGGAGATACACACATTGGTCATTATTGGGTAACAACAGCGCTGTATATACTATTGGCTGTACAGATTTATTCAATCATGCAGAAGTACCAAAGATGCATGACATGATGAGCTGGTTTTGCATGAACATGACAGTTCAGTGCTGACGATGTGTGGGTCACATGGTGGGTATCGCTGGTACCGAAGGCGGCGCCGCGACAATGTAATCACACTTGTACAGACGTGGGCATCTGAATCAGCCTCGAGCGACTCAGACTGCTCTAAGTGAGGTCAGCCAACATCGCTTGCTGTCTCAGTAGCAAGGCCCCACCGCCCCGCGCCAATGCACAATACATTGCTACCTCATCACACGGCTACGTAAGGAAGATCACTCGCTGGGACCAGGCTGCAGGAAATTAATACTACGTCGACTCGGGCCTCTCGATGAGGATGACTCTCCTCAATGCATATACGTCGCACTGTGCTGCGATTGCCTTGAACCAGCCCATCTGCTAATATTCATGGGCAACTCGCGGGCCGTCTGTCGACATCTCGACGTTTCCCTACTGAAGGGTCCTTGACTCACCAGTTTGGCCCCGATGGAGACACGGACATTCTTTCTGCGCACGTCGAGCAACGAGCTATCGTTGTAAGTGATCTGCAGCGAGCCGCACTCATGGTTCACCGGTCACCTGCCTCAATCCACGACGATCCGGGCAGCTCGTTCGCCACAGTCGACTTACGACGGCGGCCTTTGTCTTGACATCCTGGCTTCCGGGGAGCATAATATGATCTCCTCTATCAGAGTGAAACCCGCACAACGCCTCTGCACTGCCTTCACTTCGAGTACCCAGCCATTCCATACTTGCGCGCAGTGCTAATGACCAGAGTACGAGGCAGTGTCCCAGCCCGCGCCGGACAACAGACCGTGTAACCTGGCCTTTCTACACCGATGAATAAGCTTGCCCCGTGTCCAACAGCGGTACAAACAAGCCATCCTCTGCTTTCCAGCTTCACCTATCGCGCGGTCATGACGTGCCCGCCATCGAATGGAGGGCCTTCTCCAGATGTAGTGCGTGGATACTCGCGATCTCGCACCCGGTTCCCTTCGCGATATTAGCAACGCAAGTCGCAGAAGGAGTGCCGGTGTCAACACGGCGCGAAAGCAGATCTTTCGGAGTCCGAGGTGGTCGGCTTCTCGGCACCCTCCACCTCGGCGTCTTACGCCCGTCCTCATCGGTCAGCAGATCTAGTTCGCGCTCTTCTGCCTCGTCTCGAGGTGGCCTGCGGCTTGACCTCAGGCCTGCTCGAGACTGGCGTGTAGAATGGCAAGCTGGTTACGCTAGTAGCCGATGCAGCTGAACGGGGAGTGGATGAAGGAGCACGGGCAGTCTGGGTGGTGACTCCGTCTCGCTCCCGTTGCAAACGCAATACCAAACAGCCTTGCATTTCGAAGCGCGAAGTGCACATATGCTTGTCATGTGCACGCCGCCGAGCCTGTTCTGGACGGATGGTTGCACGCGTGCAGCGCGCAGCGAGCACCTCGCATATGTCTGTATGGCATGAGGCACCGGACGTCCGTAACTCGGCCGCGCATGAGTCCGCATAAAAATAGTCACGCTGGTGCGTCATGCTTGGCCGAGTACTTGGCGTCGATCTGGAACGCTACTTGGACACGGAGCGCGCCAGCAAGCATGCAGACGAGAGGCATGACGCCAAATGTACGTCAGCTGACGCGTGATCGGTGTATTTGCAGGGCCAGAAGGCGGGGCCATGAGGGGGACGATCAGTGGCGGTCTGACAGTGAGTCAATGACGGCGCAGGCCGATGTGCAGTGTCTTGCATCCGGCTATTTCGTGTCTCGTTGGAGATGTGCGCCAGAAGAGCTTAGTCGGCGCGGACGGAAGAGCTGGCCGGGGTATGGTGATGGGCCGTGCATAGGCATCGACAGGCTGCTTCAACCTGACCGCAACAGTGACGGAGAGAGGCGGCCTCAAGCCAAGCAAGCGCAAAGGCAATTATTACATCAACAGGCTACAAGTTGTACAGCAGTCGTCGGGTCGTCAGAGGTTAGGTTCGCCCGTCGGCCAGGCTCGCCGGGTTTTAGCAGAATCCGTACACGGTGCCGAAGACGGGTCTGTCGTCAGCCGCTGTTGCCTTGGCGCGGTGTAACAAACTCACGGCCTGGCCCACTCCCTCTCGTGGCGCCGACGGTCACGCCCTATGTCGTTGAAGCGCTTGACGAGCGCGGCGAGACCTTTGGGCTTCTTAGCAACTGTCGTGGCGCCGACCGTGTCGTGCACGGGCTCGGGCGCTGGTGCAGGGACTGGGTCGTCGTCGCGCCATCCCCAAGTGCGCGAGTGTGTGGAGGTGGCGGAGGCAGTCGAATTGCGGCGCTCACTCTCGACTTCTTCTGCCCGGCGGACGAAGCCGGGGCCGAGGAGTGGTTCTGTCTCGAAGGTCATTGTAGGCTACGAAGATGTGAAGGAGGAAGTAGCTCTGGTAGTGGAGAGGATGGCTCGACCAGGCTCGACTCGCGGTCTAGATATACCGCATGCGCGGTACACCAAGTCATGCGGCAACGGCAATGTAGCGCCGCTCCACGCCCACGCCTAGCCACTGCCGCCTCCACATAACTTCGAACGCAAGGCCATCCCAGTCCCGCGTGCCCGCGTCAGTCTGGTGATCCCGTGATCAGATGATCAATTGCGTTCCTCGTTCCTCACCCTCCCTCGTCCCTCGGCTCGCTCCAACCGATCTCGCTGACTCACAGCCTCGTGTAGAGTGTACAGCCAGCACACCGCCCCGCATAGCATGCTGCATCACGTCGCGTCCGACCAGCGTCCGGCGAGCCCGTCCCCGAAGCGGCATGGACGGCAGTCTTCGGTCTGCGGTCGCCGAGCTGGAGACAATGAGCGACATCGCCACCACTGATGTGCGTTTGGGAAACTAGATTCTCGGCAGGTGGCCGGCATGTCTGATTAGCTTCAGCTAGTGAATCACCCCCTCGCCGGGTTTCATATCAGCACGTCACCAAGCTTCCAGTTGGTGTTGCGGGGGGCCGCTACCTGTTCCCATCGCCCACGTGCACTCGCGGCTCCTATAATAAAGCGGAGCACTTGCTTCTTCGGACTGGCATAGAAATCCCCGGAGCGCGCTTGGTCGCTTCCGCTTTTAGATGAAACGCACACATGGGCCGTGGCAGAGCAGTGTTGATGCCAGCATACGACTGTAATGGAAGCGAGGGGTGGGTCGAGCTCGAGTCCGGGGCGACTCTGCTTCTCTTCTTTTACGTCCGAACCGGGGCTCGATCTGCACTGACGATGGTCGGCGTATCTACGCCCACGGGCACCTTGTGTGGAAACAGCAGAAAATACATACTCAGGTGCTTCCTGTTCCGTCACGTGACGAGAATGCTGGAAACGCACGCATCCACAAGCAATGAGCTCGATCATGCGATCAGCGATCGCGATGAGATCGATCAGCGGAACAAACAGATGTGGGAGGAATGCCGATGCGTGCTGTCGAAGATTCCACTCGCTAGGATCGCCAGATCGCCCTCCTCCCTGGTGCTTGATTCTGTTCTATCGATCGACAGCTCGACAGATCACCGGAATACTGAGACTCGACTGGAATGATCTCGTGTGCCATGTCGCACCATACCTCGCCCGCTTGCCTCGGTTGTCTTCGAGGTCGGAGGGCTCTGGCCGCCCATAATTACATTTGCGAGCACCGACGGGGAAAAAGAAGCAAGGCAGGCGCACAGGTCGCTCAGCCACTCGCCATGCTCACATCCCAACAACAACGCGCTGAACAACGCGGAATGGCCCGCGGCGCGCATGGCGACGGCGGCGGCTTTGGCGGCGAAGCGCGACACAAACGTCCTTCCTGCAGAGACGTCTGGCTGTAACTTTGGCCGCGGGTACAACTCGGCGGTTGAAATCGTGAGCATCTAGCGGGGCAACTCGCCGGCGTTCTCCGATGCCGACAAGATAAGGCCCACAACATCCATGTAACTTCCAACCGCACGCTCCGCCCCTGCCGCCCAGCATGCCCGCATCGTCATGCCGCCTTCAATGCGGGCGTGAGATGACGTGCCAAGGCTCGAGCACATAAAGAGTGCGAATGACAATGCAGTCTCCGTCGCCCATTGTACTCTGTGATCAGTTGAGCCTCATTGCACCTCGGCTGTTATCTCCCTTCGGACGCGTCTTTGGCCAAGTGCCAAGAGGATTGCGCCACCGCTTAACTCCCCACACGCACAGAGCCCCGCATTCCACCCCCGCTCCCCGCGAATCACACTTCGTCGTGACCTCGCTGTTCTGGGCACTCACGCCACCAAGCAGTACAGATCACAGTAAAAGAGATAAGAGGAGAGGTTGGAGTGCGCGGCCTCATCCTCCCTACTCCTTCCAACTCTGAACCGCAATGTCTCCCTTCCACTTCCGCCGCCGCTCCAGCGCCGCCTCGAACTCCAGCGCCTCCTCTCACGGCGCCGAAACATCTACTGCCACTCCTGTCGCTCCTTCCACCATCTCTACGGCTGCCGTTACACCCAGCCCTTCCGCTGTCTCGTCCCCCTCCGCGTCCTCCGTCTCCATAATCGCACCCCACATCCCGGCGTTCACCGACGATGTCGAAGTCAGCATTCCAGCGCGGGGCTCGCGTCTCGGCGACGCCCTACGGCGCGCCAAGCGCTGGATAGAGGTAGACGATGTCGACGGGCTCTCCTTCGACCCCGTCAAGTCCCTCCAACCGTCCAAGTGAGTGGCTTCGGCACATGAAGCATGAAGTCGCGGCTGACCACAGGCTTTCTTGGCACACGATCTAAGGCCTACTCTGTAATTGATCTCAAAGGCACTTAGACTACGAGCCAGCGCCGCCAGGAGCCTGTCGCAAGCCCGCCGCCCTCCCTCGCATCATGTGTGCACCCTCCCACACACCGCGGCATCGGCGCCCCGCCCGCCCCGCCCGCCCCGCCCGCCCCGCCGCTTCGCGATGTCCGCCACGATCGCGCCGCGGCTGAAGCCCACCCCGACAGCGCCCGTCCTCCGCACGCTGCAGTTCAACGGTGGGCGGCACAGTGTCCGCAGGTCATGCAATCGCGCCGAGCGAATCGGACGAGAAGCGCGCTCAAGGAATGTGAACGCCATTTCCCTGTGTAATTGAAGCCGTAGAATTATGGGATTCATCTTGCCACCCACACTCGCACGTAGCCGATGGCACAACCAGGACTGGGCGCCGGCATCGTTCGAATGTCACTGACGCGTATGTGGAGGTGAGGCAGCCTCGGCCGTGGAGGTCTACACTATGCCGACTTAGCTTGATAGTGGCAGGAGTGTCAGTAACGCTTACGCTCCCTCTCCTTTGACACTGCCACGTCCACGTAATGGGCGGACTTCTGGGATCCGAGCTCTCGACATCTCCTTGCATTTGCCCAAACGATGGAGCACCCATTAGCGGTAGACCTCCAGTTTGTCTCGAATACTGCTCGGGCTTCGAGCAAGATGAGAACCAAGTGCCCCCCTTGCAATGTCATTGTCAATGACACAGTATACAGGGGGACAGTGTCCCCCCCCCAAGTCAATGATGATGGACATGGAAGCCGACAACTGAAGGCAATCGGTCCAGTCAGAGACGGAAAAAGCGAAAAGTAGTACATATGCAGATTGCTGTGCTATGGAATGAGCGACATCGGTCACAACATATAGCAATCGGCGAAACAATTTTTAAAGTGCTTTTATAGATATTTATCCACTTCGTCGGTGTTTCTCCACCGCATCAAATATACATCTCGAGCTTCCACACTCACATTCCCTCCTTCATTGTCACATCCCAATCCTTTTGATCCAACTTTCCCCTTTCGCCCCCAGCACGTCACATGCGCATTCGACTGGCAACGAGATGCACTACACTTCTCACCTATACATGTCCCAACTCACCTCAGGCATCCGTGTTGGCTATGCTTTATTCGACGTGGTTCGTATCTGTCATGGCAATGTTGCGATTTACGATGCGCCCTCCCGAATGCGGAACGGCTCACCCAGAAGCCGTCTAGGCACGGAACGCCCCAGATCTGAACAATCAGCTCCGCTCCGCTCCACCTCTACCCGAACAATCATTGAACAAGCTGACCATGATTGATTGACTCGGGTGCATTCCATTGTCATCTCTCTCATCTCATAACATTGTTCACACGCTCATCGGCTTGACCTTATAACCACCCCAAGGTCAACCCTTCGTCTACCCACCTCCCCTACATCCATCCGCCCACTCATCATGGCCCCTCGCCGCCGCAAGCCCGTCGCTCCCAAGACCGCCAAGACCTCCAAGACAGCAGCAGCAAGTTCTGCCGCAACTGCCGCTCCAGCGGCAAGTACTAGCGCACCGACAGCACCGGCTCCAAGTCCTAGCCGGCCCAGGTTTCGCAAACCTTCCCATGCACCTTGGTCGCTCTCGCCATCGCCAGAGCCACAGGGGGGACAGAGGGACGACGACGTAGACGAGCTTGATTCTGACAAGCCCGGCTCTTCGCCTCCTGGCCAGCCCGCCGCCCCCACTTCTCCTGCCACCGGCAAATCGGGCACGGCAGGTGGTACGATTACCAAGGCCCCCAAGACCCCTAAGACCCCCAAGACCCCCAAGACGCCCAAGACGCCCAAGACTGCGGCGACGGGGGCCAACCCGATCCAGCCCGCATCCCCAGCTGCATCTCAACTTGCATCTCAGTCCGGCACCAATATTCCTGCCAAACCCCTCGACCCTGTCCTTCCTGTTTCTGTGGGTCAGCTACCTCCCTCCCAGAAGGGCTACTATGACTCCCTTTTCAAGTGCGGTCAAGAGTTCTTCGACAGCCACTGGGCGACTGACGATGTATGGCGATCCGAAGGTGCTCTGCGTGACTACCTGACGCGCTTGGGTCATGGCAACGATCCCCTCACCACCGTCCAGCCATGGTATCATAGCCATGACTGGCTTTATCCACAGGAAGCGCGGCAATACGGGCTTGAGCGCTACATCCCATCCAAGCCCATTGAGCTGCCGCTCCTGTCCGGCACTCGTATGATTCGCTGTCGCCCGAACAAGGTCGAGCACAGCCAGATGGCCGACATGACGGGAGAACCAGACCCCTCTCCACGTGCAACATGCCACTCTGGGTGCATTCCCGCATTCATTTACACGTAGGTTACTTCGAAGTTTTAAACGCTGAAGCATAGGTCTCCTAGCCTTGTTTGCCCCTTGGCGACAAAATTTAAGCAACCCACCATCGTTTACGCGTGGAAACCCATGGTGGCAGGCATTTTGCTCCAAGCTTGCTGGAGCTGCTACACCCGAGGTTCAACAGGGTGCGGCGTGACCAAGGTGAAAGTCGATAAGGTGGCCTCTCCCTCTGTCTCGGCCTCTCCGTCTGCAAGTCCCTCCCCGCTACCTGCTCGCCTGCCTCCCGCAGGCCCAGACATTGCAGAAGCGGCCGACTTTCTAGATCCTCAAGGCGAAGTCGACATGGCGATGGAGGACGTCGTAATGGAAGGTGCAACCAACCTTTCTTTCACGGAGATGTTCGAATCAGAACCCAACAAAGAGGCTCCCCTGGGCCATGTTACCGAACAGGACCCATTATCATTTGGCTCGCCGCCTCAAGCTCCGACTCATGCCCTCTTTCCTTCCGAACGTCCCACTGCTCCACTTGCCCCACCGCCTCTTCCAGCTGCTTCCCCAACTCCTACCGGCCCTACTTCTCCCACTCGTCGTCATCCTCCTCCACCGCCTCCGCCGCCTGCGCCCCCTATGCCGCCTTCAGATCCTGCACGTCCTGCTGCTCGCTTGGCTCCTCCGGCTGCTCTTCCGACTGAAACATCGGCATCTGCTGCTCCTGCCCATCTTGACCCCCCTGCCTCGCCTGAACGTAGCGATCTCTATCTGCCTGAGGACCTTCGCGTGCTCCCCCCTCCACCTCCAGCGCCATCGTTCATCAGGGAGCGGATCGCTCTCCCCATCGTCCAGGGGGTGCAGTCAATGACCATCACACCGATAATGGAGGAGTCCGGGAAGGATCTCCTTGTGCCTGTTCAACCAGAGCATTCGAAGGAGCTCGTTCAGGAATCGGATGTACCCATGGGAGAATCCCATACCCTGTTGG